CACGCTCAAAACGCTCATTGCCCTCCCCCTACTCTCGTCAGTCACCAGGGACTTGGTGCTCCCCATGTCCTCACGCCGCACCCCTCACAGGGTAGGAGAGACCCCAGTTGGGGCTGCACTGGGAGAAATGAAGGGACAAAAACAGAAAACGAAGACCGAGGCCCATGCAAGACCCAAATGCAGGTGACCCTAGCAGCTGTATTCATCGTAGCCCCAAACCGGAAACAGCCCAGATGTCCGTCAGCAGGGGAAGGACAGACAGACCGCGGTGTGTCCGCACCATGGGATATGCGGCAATAAAAAGGAACATGCCCATATATGCAGCGGCACGGATGGCGCTGAAAACCCTGGTGCTGAGTAAGAGAAGCCAGACACCCAGAGAGCGGATGCTGTGCCCACCTCCATGAGGTCCCAGAACAGGCAGCGCGCATGTGTAGCGAGCAAGCAGATCGCAGGGCCTGGGGCTGGAGAGGGGCTGGCGGGCAGAGGGAACATCTAGGGAGACGGGTGGGGGGACACATGCATTTGTCAAAACTCATGGGCCTGGGCCTGAAATGCGCACTTTTAAATCCCATGTGAAGTAGCCCTCGATGTAGTTTGTTTTGGAAGAAAAAACAAGAGGAGCCAGAGGAGGTGGGGGAGGCACACAGCCGCCATGTGGGTGCGGGGGAGTTGGCATCCTCGGTAAACGGGGAGGCCACCACCTCCCAAGGGAGCTCAGTGTCTGAGGGGCAGTGAGGAACCCCACATCCAGGGGCAGGAAGAGGCTGGGGACCAAGAGGAAATAGCCCAAGAGGAGGAGCATTACGGGGCGGAGGGTGTGGGGGGGGGGGGGGGGGGGGGGCAATGCCTCAGACACTTAGGGGGAGAGGCTTCAGCCAGCCCTGATCATAGTGGGGCATAAGGAAGCCAGAGAAGCAGTACAAGGTCTGAGCAATGGGGAGAAGTCACCCTTGGGGACCCCCGCTGCAGCCACACCACAGCTGCCCACTCCCCCACCGCCCCTCGGCAGGCTCTGTTAGGCCGGCTCAGGGCCCTACTCCGGCCGGCACCTGAGGGGCTGTGGCATTGGGTGGCTCCCAGGTGGGGTGGGGGGTTGGACTGAACTCCGCGGGCAGAGGCGTGGCCCCTGCAGCCGTGGAACTCTCAAAGGCTAAGGAGACCCGTTGGAGCCTGTGCTGACCCCCCGAGGGCCCGGGCCGGCCTCCAGGATGGGCACACGGCCCCGTCCACGCTCCGCAGGGCCGCTAAATTTAGCCAGGCAGGGGAGGCTGTCCCGGGGCCGAGCGCTTGGCAGCACAGCCTTGTCTCCCTACAAGGCCTGGCCGGTGCCCAAGCTGGACACCCGGCCTTTGGGCTTATAAGGCCGGTCTGGAGACACCCAAGTGCTGGAGTCTGGGGTGGGCTCTGGGCCAAGCGCTCAGACTTTGGGGAGCCTCCTTCCTGGCGACCAGCAGACATGGGAGCTACTTGCTGCATGATCTTGGCCAAGGCACTCAACTTGGGAGCCTCAGTTTCCCTGTCTGTAAAGTGAGGATTCGAGTGCCTGCCTCTCAGGGCTGATTTTAAAACACCTACTGATGGTGTAGGCACCGTGTCCCTATAAACTCCAACCCCTGCCCTGCCACCTCCGTTCCCCACGCCTAGAATAGCACAGGTGTCTGTCCTTGGGAGGCTGGGGCTGGGGCCGGGGGCAGAAAGCACAGGCCTCAGACGGAAAGGTCTATCTGAGAACCAGTGAGAAGAGACATGGACCTCAGCAGAGACTCTTGGGACTTAGTAGCAAAAACTTTAATGTGTCCCCAGCTGGGTTGCTCAGTGGTTATAGCGTCAGCCCGCGGACTGAAGGGTCTCGGGTTCCATTACGGTCAAGGGCAGACACCTAAGTTGCGGCTCCATCAGGGTGGGTGTGGGAGGCAACCAATCGATGTGTCTCTCTCACATTGATGTTTCTCTCTCTGCGTCTCTACCTCTCCCTTCCACGCTCTCTAAAAATCAAGGAGAGTATATGCTTGGGTGAGGATTAACAACAATAACAAAAATTTAAAAATATACTTTAAAAAAATTTTTAAACAGAAAATTAATTTGGGGAGAGAAAAGTTACTGCTTTTATTTCTTTTTCTTTTGGGCGTTCTTTGGATGTGGTAACATCCCAGATGGGACAGTCCTCCTTACCGATCTGCTGTGGGTTTTTTGTTAATCCTCACCTGAGGATATTTTCCTTTGATTTTAAGAGAGAGTGGAGGGGAGGGGGAGAGACAGAGAGAGACACACACATCGATTGTTTGCCTCCCACGCACACCTCAACCAGGACTGAGCTCGAGCCTGCAACCGGGATACGTGCCCTTGAACAGAATCGAACCCAGGACCCTTCAGTCCGCAGGCCGATGCTCTATCCACTGAGCCAAACCGGCTAGGGCAGCCGTGGGCAAACTACGGCCCGCGGGCCGGATCTGGCCCGTTTAAAATGAATAAAACTAAAAAAAAAAAAGACCGTACCCTTTTATGTAATGATGTTTACTTTGAATTTATATTAGTTCACACAAACACTCCATCCATGCTTTTGTTCCGGCCCTCCGGTCCAGTTTAAGAACCCATCCGCAGGCCGATGCTCTATCGTTTGCCCACCCCTGGGCTAGGGCCTTGCCAATCTGTTTTCTGAGTGTCAGGGTCAGAACTGAGGCCATAACAGCAGCATATGTGTGTACCCCAAGCAAATATGTCTGAGTGGCTGAGGGGACCCACTGGAGCCTGTGCCCACCCCCCCCTTAAAGGACTGGGCTGGCCTCCAGGAAGGGCGCAGGCCCCTCCACACTCCACGGAGTGAAATTTTAGCCAGGCAGGGGAGGCCGTCAGTCCATTTGTCCATCTGCCCATCAGCAAGCCTGGATCCTTGGAGGAGAAGGAGGAGGGGAGGGGGAGGGGGAAAGAGGAGGCGGAGGAGGAGGCGGCGGCCATGGTAATGGTATGAAAGGGACAGGCACCGATTGGAGAATGGCTGCCTGACTTCCCTCCCTCGCCCCCTCTCCTTTGCCCCGTCCCCCCTTATTTAGCACCTGCTGCCCTCCTGAGGGTGGTGCGCCAATGAGGATGTGAGTGGAGTGGACACAGATGGCTTAGACACAGTGTCAGCATCCTCCCCACGCCCCATCGCAAGCAGTTCTCGTCCTGAGCCTGCTCTTCCCAGTGCCACAGGGTCAGCTGGGAAGGCGACAGGCCCTTTTGTCTGGGGTCAAGACGGGGCCAAGGGGATGCTACCGCCACAGCTCTGGCTCCCAGCATCTCTGGATTTTTTCTTAGAAAAGCCCAGGATGTGGTTCTCGCTGGCCCCCTTGGAGATGGCGTCCGACAGACTGTTGAGCTTGAGACTGGCAGGAACTCTGTGTGGGGGGAGGCTGATCTGTTTGACAGGGGGACTGGCCTGGGGTGCGGGATGAGGCCCCTTGCCGTCCAGAAAGTGGCTCTGCTCAGACAAGCAGCTGGGGTTCCCAGCCCGGGCCTGGCTCCTTGCCCAGAGCAATTTCCTGGCTCAAGGCCTGCCAGGAAGACGACTGCTATCAGCCTTCAGGCTGAGGCAGCTCGGACTTGAGGGACACAGTGGCTCTGAGGACACCCAGCCTCACTTCCCAGCTTCCATGGAGGGAGCCCTGGGGACATTCAGGGACAGGCAGCCGGATTGCAGGCCAGGGAGGCTTTCTTGCTTCCAGCCGGGTCCTTCAGTCCAGCCTGGGGGAGCCTGGGCAAGTCATTTGTCCTCTCTGAGCTCCTCTTTGCTTCTTTTTCTTAAAACTTGAGTTTATTAACGTCAGAGAGAGAGAGGAAGATCCATTTGTTGCTTCACTTATTTATGCATCATGGGTCCTGGCAGGGAATTGAACAGCAACACTTCGGTGCCCTGGATGATGCCCAACCAACCGAGCCACACCGGCCAGGGCAGCTCCACGTTCTTTATCCGCAACAGGAGGTGGGGGTTGAGGAAGGCCTCCAGTTCTAAGGGCTCCGAGAGCTAACGGGGACCCCCCATCCCCATCCTGGGGGCTCCTGCCTTCGGGGCCTGCATGGGGGTTAAAGGCAGGAGCCGAAGAGGGGCTGCCCCCCAAGCTCAATAGTGGCCTCGAGCTCTCTGAACTCAGTGTTATCAGGACACGTCCCCCCGGGGAAATCCCACTGTGGGTCCCCATTTCTCAGATAAGGAAAGCAGGCTCA